CTATTATTCATCTTTAATTGAAAAAATATGAACCAGTGAGTGAATTTTAATAAAACTTTCTGGAAATAAGCTCTACATGTAAATCTACAACTGATATCTTACAAAATATTGAATTATTTAAATCACATTATGGCTGTAGCGAGTATGAATAGGAGAAACAAGAGTGATAATGTTTCTGCCCTGCACTGCATTTTTTAAACCTGTTGGGGCACCACATCAGATTTAACTGATATTTATTCTGACTGGTCACCGTGTGTGTGTGTGTGTGTGTGTGTGTGTGTGTGTGTGTGTAAACATTAGTCATTAAGACATTTCAGTTTTTACGTTCCGGTTTCAAACATTTCTCCTCCACAACCTCGTCATGATTAATTGTTGATTACTCATCATTTCTCTACATTGATCACACACAGACAATTTTTTCCTCCTTTCAACATGATTTGCTGATCGTCTCATGGTTCGTTTTTATTAATCTCTCCCTTTATTTAATAGAGTCAACTTTTATTCTAATCAATTCGTTTAAAACATAACTTGTTATAACTCACAAAACCTTTATAATTTTTTTTCTTTCCTTTAAAACCAAAATTAATCACAACTTTTGACTGTCTGCATGGTTTCACTTCAAGTCCACAGCTCCACTCCGGCTGCTCTTCGTTACTTCCTCCTTTTGGTCCTGTGTGACATCATTCCTGCACTTTAACTTGTATTAAAGGCCCTCCGACACCATCTTCATGACAGCTTTGTTTCCAATCACCTTTGACCTATACATTAATCTTCATCCAGGTACCACCACATATCCACATCCATTGACAATACACACACACGCTTTACAGAAAAATTATAATTTTGTGTATTTTGTTGCCATTTTCCTATATCCGTTTATTTTCAGGTAAGCAGACAGATGTCGGGTGTGTGGTCTTGTTTTCTTGGTGCATATTTAATATATTTTCTAATCTCTCTTTCAATCTAATTGCATTTCCCTGTTTTTTCTCTTTATATAACAAAAACAAATCACTGATGAAGAAATTAAGAAACTAAATTTATTTTTTTCTACTGAAGTGATAAAAACATTTATTCACCCTTTTTATTCAGACTCATTTACCAAAGTGTGAGATCGTAACATTAGCAGTGAGCTCTTCCCATGTGCATGAATACTCAAAATAACCACTTTGTCTTTTATACCAATTTATTACAAAAATTTAGAAAAACCTATTTCATTAAACCATGAATAAAACCAGTAAAATAATATTAAAGACAAGCAATAAGGTTTCTAAAACAGTTTAAAGGTGAAAATTATTGGGGACTTGATGTTATGTCAATGTTAAAATAAGGTTATAGAAGGAACAATGGAAATATTTTGTCTATTAATTAACTGACAAGTGACCCAGGTTGAAAACCTAGAAAGTTTTGTCAGTTTAGAGAGAAGTGTTAAGAGTTTGGTCAGATTAGAGATTAGAGACCTAATCTACTGCAGATCAGAAGATTATCAAGATTGCCTCAGCTGTTGAACCAGGACTGCTCTGCAAAGCAAATTGTGACACCTTTTTAGAAGTACTTTTACTCTCATCCAGTTTGGAGACATCCAGTAGTCCTGTTGGGATTTTTTTTCAGTTATGTTCCTTTATTCCTTTATGTACTCCTTTTATTTTACTTTGCAAGTTTGCTCATCACAGCCAAATTGTCTCTCTCTCCTCCAATGCCGTGTGAGCTATTTGTCAACAAGCAGAGATACATCACCAAACATGGTATCCTGCCTTTTGTTTACTACACTGCTGGGTGAGCTAACTTTTGTCAGAAATAGATCAAGTGTGTTAAGACATTTTTGTATCTTGTTTCCCCTCCCCTTTGCTTTAATAAAAGCGACACTCTGCTACAGAAAGTTCGAGAATTTGGGGGAACTTCTGAGTATGAGGTTCCTTCAACTTCTCCCTCTTTTGCGAAGGAGTGTCTGAAAACTCATACCTTTCGTCTCGTTCATTTAGTTAAAGGTACATCTTTTGATTAACCCTTTCACCCGTAGATGAAGCAGCTCAGTTGCTGGACCCCTTTTCTCTGAAGTCCAGGCCTTGGTCAGATCACAGAGGTTGTACAGAAGCGGACTCCCTGGCTGGGACAGCATGGCTTTCCGTCATGAACGGCCTTTATTAGACCCAGCCAGGTCGATAAGAACATCATAGTTGGATCTGAATGAGATTGGTCCAAACCAACTTTTCTTTGATTAACTGGGATTTAAGGAAGATGGATTACGTGATCCCAGATAACAAAAATGGAGATTTCAAGATTTGAATGATTTTGATCCAGATTAAACGTTTTGAACAACTGGACCCAGGATTTCCAGCCATATACTTAGGCTACACAAACATAAAAACGATGCCAAACTTATGAAATGATTTCCTGGTGATACGACAGTCTGCACAGAACGCACAGTTTCAAATAAATTAAAATGATTAGAAACATTACTTTTGAAGACCTTTATGATAAAAAAACCCACTTGATTGTAGGTTAGGAAGATAATAGCCACAGTGGGTAGGTGGTATTTTTATGCAAGAACAAATTATGGCAAATAGTTTCAATTTTTTTAAACTCTGCAAAGAGTCACTGTGCACAAGCAGCTACATTTTTGCAGAAAGTCTGAATCCAGTTATGGGTTTGTGACCACATGATCTATTTTCATCCCATCTTTAATTTTATTAGATTTCAGACAGACACTAGAAGTTAAACTAATGTGGTTGGATTGCAATATTGTTTCCTTGTCCATCTGTAATGAGTAAAATATTAGGACAAGTAAACTGCTACAATTATTTTTCCCATTAATGTTCTAAATCTAAATACTCGTTTCCATCTCATTATTGGTCAAAGTTACAAAGAGCTGCAGGTTGTGGATCCATGATAAATACAAAGCAAAGTCAGCAACATGTCAAACAGGGGTATAAATTGACTTAAAATTTATTGAATAATTCTACATGAGCAGAGCTAACATGAGCAGAGCCAACAACAAAAAAATTATTTTCCTGACATTTTACTCCAGTTCCATCAAAGTGCTTTTAAAAGGCCAACATAGTTCTGGTTTTCACTTTCAAAACATAATCCATGCAAAATGATTTACTGGCCTACATTTCTGAAACAAATCAAGAGGAAAAAGATTAGTGGAACTTGAAGTTATGGTTTATTTTTTTTTATCCAATTCAACACCAGCTCAGCCTGTTTGTCATCATACAAGTTGCTTTCAGAGTCTGTGCAGGTGGTGATGGTCACCAGGGTATAACTACTGGGACATTCATGCATTTACTTTGAACCAACTAAAACCTCCTTAATATGCATCCATTTCTCCTGTAAACAGACTCCAATGAAGGGCTTCACCTATAGCTCCAGAATTCAAATCAGACTCTGCATCGTCGCTACAAATCAAATCTCTGGACTCAGATGGTTGAACAGATCGCTCTGATTCAAACTCTTTGATCCGAAGGTTATCCCCCTCATCTGACTCACTGTTAACAGAGTCAGGTTTATTAATGCATTTGATGTCTTTCAGCTTTAAGGCAGTGCTCACTTCATCCAGCTCAGAGCTACGCTTCGTTAATCTCAGGTCAGAAAGAGCAGACGTGTTTGTATCAAAGTTACTGGTTGTAAAATGTGTCCGGGCATCTTTTGCATCAGAAGGTGGAATATTCAGCTTCCTGTACATGATGCCATGTTCATTTTTGTAACTATTGTTTTTACTTTGACCTGAACCTTTAGCAGCACTGCAGCTATTATTGACACTGTTCGGACAAACTGTATTGGTGGAAATTACACGAGTAGAGCTCTGACTAATATCGAACCTGGGATGTCTTCCGTTCGTGTTGTTACCAAAGCCATCTATGGAGGTAATCTTTTCATCACCAGTGGAAGAAAGCACAAAATCTCTAAAATACAGCTCCTCCTCTCTGACCTGACCCGTTTCATTCCTAACTGGTCTATTTTGATCCGACATGTCCATGGTAAGCAGATCTTTCAGCTCACTGCCTATTGTTATCATTACCTCCTCATTTTCTTTTCCATCATCTGCCTTTTCCTCATGATTGACCTTTGCAGACTTCCATCCTATTTTGTCACTAGTGGTTTCTCCTTTGGTCTCTTCAGAGTCAGTCTGGAGATCTTCATGCACATCCATGTCGCCTTTCTCATCTTCATCCACTGGTTCTGTGTCCTTTTCAGTTTGGAAAGCCCTCACTCTCAACTCTGGTTTCTGGTGCTTTTGCTCAACAAGCCAGCCTGAACTTCTGACTTTACTGCTGAAAGCTGAGAAGAAAGAAATATTCAAGTTGACAAGCTCTAAAATTTCTCCTTGCACACTTTCATTAACGTATATTAAATTACATATCAGTTACAATGACTGAGTTATGCTGCAACTGAATACTTTAAAATTGGGACATACAATACAACATATTCAGGTATAATTTAATTCATATAAACTGACATTCTCTGAACTTACCAGTCGCAGTGTCAGAGCACACAGAGTTACAGCAGGAACACACCGAGGGAGAAGCTGTCAGCTCCTCCCATCTAAAAATACAAAAAAAGTTTGTTAAATTGTTCAGATTGTTTGTATCATTCTTCAGATAAAGCAACCAAGACCCATGGACCATTGAAACCACACTGCTATCATGCTAGGGATAACATTAAAAAAGAAAAAAAACACTTGTTCGACTGTCTCTTTCAGCTTCCAGAGTCTGCTGCAGTGTTTCCCAAAGTTGGGGTCGGGACACAAAGTGGGGTCCCAAAACATCAAGGTGGGATCCTGAAAAGATTTTCTGAATTAATTACATTTATGGCTTAGTTGTTACAAACGAGTGAGGTTAGTGTATTTAAAATGGATAAATGTAATATAAAAAATATTGTTACTATGCCCATGTTTAGTTGACCTGATACAAATGTTTATCATGCAAAAATAGCTGGGGGTACAGGTCTCTACTGTTATTTTGTGGGTCAAAAGCTGAAAGGTTTGGGAACCACTGCACTTTGGTTCCCAAAGTTGGGCTTGGGACCCAATTATGGGTCATGAAGNTTGGGCTTGGGACCCAATTATGGGTCATGAAGCACCTTGGATAATCTCCAGAAATCAATTTAAAGGGTAATAAAATAATTGCTGATGTAATATTTCCCTATAACTATTACAAAAACACAAAAAAGTATAAATAAGTATTTATATTTGTGTATAAGCTGTTTAGATGGTCAAAAAGCCTGTGTTTTTAGGGTTATTAACAAAGTTCATGTACTCAGACCAGTAATATTTGGGGTCAAGTTTTTGCCATGAATATTTTGTGGGTCAGAAGATAAAATGTTTGGGAACCACTGGTCTATTGTACCCTGACAGAGGAGTTTATGACCAAAGCGGTGCAGAAAATTATCTACAAATTAATTAAAAAAATGTCAACAATGGAAAATTGTTCATCCAGCCTTACATGTTGGAACCAGAGTCTGGCCCAGAGGAGAATGAAGACAACATTTTAGACTTGCACAAGGCTGGGATGGGCTACAGGAACATAGGCAAGCAGCTTGGTACGAAGGCAACAACTGTTGGTGCAATTATTAGAAGACAGAACAAACTCAAAACAACCATTAATCTTCCTCTATCTGGGGCTCCGTGCAAAATCTTGCCTCATGGGGTCTCTATGAACATTTGAAGGGTGAGGGATCATCCCAGAACTACATGGGAGGACCTGGTCACTGACCTGAAGAGAGCTGAAACCACACTCTCAAAGGTTACCATTGGTAACACTATGTCGGCATAAACTAACATCCCGCAGTGTATGCACGGTCCCCAATACATGTCCAGGACCATTTGAAGTTTGACCATCTGGAAGATCCAAAGGAGGCATGGGAGAAGGTTGTGGTCAGAAGAGACCAAAATATAGCTTTTTGGTATAAACTCTACTCGCCGTGTTTGAAGGAGGAGGATGTGTACAATCCCAAGAACACCATTCCAACCATGAAGCATGGGGGTGAAAACCTCATACTTTAGGACTGCTTCTCTACAAAGGGGGCAGGACATGAATAGGGTCGTGTATTCCAAGATTCTGGCCAACAAGCTCCTTCCCTCTGTTAGAGCGTTGAAGATGGGTTGTTATAGACAGCATATATAGATATATAGTCAGCATGACAATGACCCAAAACACACAGCCATGGCACTTAGGGCGCTGCTCCATAAGAAGTATTTCAAGGTCCCGGAGTGTAGCCTGTCTCCGGACCTGAACCCAATTGAAAATCTTTAGAGGGAGCTGAAACCCAGTGTTGTCCAGCAACATCCCCAAAACCTGAAAGACAGGGCCAAAATCCCTGCTACAGTGTGCACAAACCTGGTGAAGGACTACAGGAAAATGTCTGACATCTGTAGTTGTTTCTGTAACAGATGTGAAGTTCTGTTTTTTTGAATGGATTTAATACTTATTTCATGCAATAAAATGCAAATCAATTATTTAAAAACATTATTGTAGGTGAGCCAACTTGCAAAATTGACATCATATTAAATGCTTATTTTCCCCACAGAACAGTTGACATATTCACAGTGGTGGGCACAGTTCCCCTAAAGCACTAATAGGGGAACTTTTCTGATTAGTGCAGGGCTTTTTGCTCATTTTAAAATTTACTACTGGATTAGCACTTGCTAAATTTATAGGCAAAATTTAGAAGCACTAACTGAGGTCTATAAACGTTATTGATCAACGTTAACAGCTGAAGGTGAAAGCTGTCACACATTTTGTTCATGTGTGTCACTTATCCACCAGGTGACAACATATTGACAATATATGAACTTAAATACAGCTGTGGAATGTCAATAAGTCTTAAGAGAGCAACATGGTAACATGTGACTCATGTCTGTTGAATGTTAATGGGTTGACTGAGTTATTTTAGTGCTTTAGAATTAGCTTATGGAGGTGTCAACGTGCTTTAGTTTGCCAGTAAAATGATTTAGTTTTTCTCCATCATATTATCCAGGAGAGTTTAATAGTATTTCTAATGTATGATCATGAAACGAAGACATCTGTAGTTAGATTGCTAAGTGATATGAAAGGAGGAGAACGTACGTTTCTGAATAATCACAGAAGTTTATACACATCACATACAGGGGTTAGACAATGAACCTGAAACACCTGGTTTTAGACCATAACATCCCTTTCAGACAGCTTCCTCTTGCGTCCACAGTTAATCCTGTTGGATGTGGTTCGTCCTTCTTGGTGGTATGCTGACATTACCCTGGATAATGTGGCTCTTGATACATCACAAAGACTTGCTGTCTTGGTCACAGATGCACCAGCAAGACGTGCACCAACAATTGAACTCTGGTGTGTCACCCATGTTGTGTGCATTGCCATATTTTGAGAAAAACTGTGCTCTTACCCTGCTAATTGAACCTTCACACTCTGCCCTTACTGATGCAATGTGCAATTAATGAAGACTGGCCACCAGGCTGGTCCAGTTTAGCCATGAAACCTCCCACACTACAATGACAGGTGTTTCAGTTTCATTGTCTAACCCCTGTACACCAACAACAAGGATCCTCACTGTGGATTACTTAGACCAGGGATAGTCAATCCTGGTCCTCGAGTGCCGCAGCCCTGCATGTTTTATTTGTTTCTCTGCTCCAACACAGCTGATTTGAATGAATGGTGATTATCCTACACATTCTCACTCCCGACTCGTCACATATTGACGCTTTTCCAAAGTTCCCTCTGCGTCTTATTTTGACGCATCAGGTGACCCCCTCGCGTCAGTCCTTGACGCCCGCGGCTTTTCCGGGTTGCGCCACCAGGGGTCTTTGGGTCGGGGGTTTGAGGTTAACATGAGGGATCAGGATTAATGGTTAAGTTTAGGTACTGGGATCAGGGGTAGGATGTCCATGGTGAATATTAGGTAATTTCAGACTTTGGAACATGTTTACGTGAATTTCCTACATTTTCTAAAAATGGTTAATTTTAGGTACTAGGGTCAGGGACAGGATGTCTAAAGTGAACAAAGGTAATTTCAGGCTTCGAAACGGTAGTTTTTGCGCATTTTCTACACTTTCTGAAAATATGACAACAGATTTCGCCCCATCTCGTCAGTAACTGACGTGACGGGGGTACCCGGCTCGTCAAAATCGGACATAGAGGGAACCTTGGAAAAGCGTCAATATGTGACGAGTTGGGAGTGAGAATGGGTTGGATTATCAGGCTTCTGCAGAACTTGGATGAGGTAATTCAATGACTGAAGCAGGTGTGCCAGAATGATTTATATTGGTAAAACAAAAAAGGACAAACTAAAACACTGAGAAAACTGAAGATCACTTTAAAACTACTAGAAAGTGGGATTTTTTGGAAAAAAATTAGATAACTTAAGTTTTGCAGTACTGTTTACATAAATATGCATGTAGTTACTGACCTTCCAAGTGCCTTGTTGTAGTTGCAGGACTTTGCAATGTGAGAAGTGTAGAGACCAACTGACAATGAGCAGTGAAGGTACTGCACCTGAAGACAGATAAAATACAAATATAGTAAAATAGAAAGAAATTCAAAAAGAGAACCTGTTCGATTATTACAGAAATTTGATCCCCATAAAGAGTACATATCTCAGGTTGCTGGTAGCAGAGAGCAAAGAAGGAGCAGAAAAACAAAGGATTTGGATAGAACTGTTTTAGTTGCTCATATTTACTGTAAAGCGCACTAAAGGTCCTGCCACACCGTTTTAGACAACTTAGGCCAACTTGTGAAATGTTTGGAGACGTTGAAGATGGAAAGAAAAAAAATCAACTGGAAGCCTCTTTAAGTAGTGTACATTCTTCAATTATATAACTTAGTAATTTAGTGGAAATTTTGTTTAAGATGTGTAGGGGTCACCTCGAGTCAAATTATCAAGGAACTATCTTGGACTCTCAGTCCTCTGATGGGCCTTCGAATGGACAAAAACTCTGTTCCACTTAGAACTGTATTTAGGCCACCCAAGGCCACTTTCCTTCTAAATCAGATAAAAACAGAAGAATCTTCTTATTTAATTTAGTCTTTTAACTGAAAGTATTACGCATTTTGATAATCAGAGAATGTTTATCAAAGTTACAGGAGAAGAGAGGACAGATGTCTTTTCTCCCTCAGTAGGATTTCAGCTTTGTATGGTTTTTTCTGTGGGAAAAAAAATTCTTATTTAACTAAAATAATCTTTATGGTTTAAGTTGATGAAATATCAATGTTTTACTTGTCTGAATCATATTTGCAAATGTTTTGAATTGAAGCAATTAATTTTTCTTTCAGTTATGTTTTAAATAAGTACTCATCAGATAATTTAAATGGGTCATGAAATGTGTTGTTCTGAACCACACAGCAGCAGCAATAATCTTTGTTTTGTTTCAGGAGGCACAGCGAGTTCTGAAACTAACACTTTCCTTGATAATTTCTTTTTCTAATCTAACCTTCTGGAGGGCGGACCATAGATTCTCTAAGCTTCTAGGAACCAACAGTTTCCGCCCGTCTAGTGAGAGAAAAGAAAGCGTGAAAAAAGGTGACTGACGGCCGTCAGTCACTGTGACAGCTAGATTCTCTCCGGGGAATCAAAAGCTGAAAACTGTGTTAATTAATTGTTCACAATCAGGTGTATTCTATAGTCAATTTTGTATGATTTGTAAAATAAATGATCGCATACTATGGTTCAAATCAACATTCACTGACAGAGTTACTTTGTGTCCGTTAATTCTTGCACTAAAGAAATGTTTATCCAAAAAATAAAAGAGATACACGCTAATTAAATTACTCTTATAACCTTGTTATAAGAAGTGTAAGCTGACCCTTACAGATGCATAAGTTGTCTAAAATGTCACAATGTGACAGGGCCTTAACAAGCGACATGAGCAACACAACTGCATGAAATTGGATCTTGTATTTTCTCCCAGTGACAGCCAACTCCACAAACTTCTCAAACATTGATGTGATGCAGATTAGACCATCAGTTTCAGCACAAGCAGTGAATTACACTTGTTTACACGATCAAGCATTAACTTTATGTAGTTATGTATTTATGTCTAAGTATAGATTATAATAAAGTACATTCATTTCATTTTGTTTTTACTTGGTTACATTTGAAATTTTATCTGTTACGGAGTAAAAAATGTGAAGAAATCTAGAAGAAAATAATGCACTCTATTTAAAATTTGGAATTTCATTCAGAAAACAGATGTAGCTCCTTACCATGGTGATTAGTTTTGTATAGTCAAGACCAAGACCATGGTGTCTCAAGACCGAGATGAGACCAAGACTTTTAGGGTCTGGACCATGTCGAGACTAAGACTAAGGGAGGTCAAGACTAAGAGCAGTGCCTAGTGCTGTCTCTGAAAGTGAATTTACAAGTTGCTAAACAATTTCTCCTGGATGTTGTTTTACAACTATATTCTTTATGATTTATGTAGCCAAACTGTTTTGCTGAAAACTTTACAGACATTTTCTCCCACTCCCAGAGAACCACTGCTCACTTTTCCTGGAGTGCCGCGTACGATTCAAGTGGGTGTGGGTGACAGCCGGTAGTAAAAATACATAAATACGAATGAGTCGGGTTTGGATTTGAATCAGTATGTTTTAAATTCAATTAAAGCAAAGATGTTAACATAAATTGCACAATAATCTGGCTATTTAGTGATATTTCCAAATTGGTGGTCTTGAAATAAAATTCTGAGTCCTCAATGTCCGAGTCCAAGACAGGACTGAGTACAAATGCTGTCGAGTCCAAGACAAAAACATCAAAAAGTGGTTTTAAGACAAAGACCGGTCTCAAGAAATACAACATCTCATAAATAAATTAGTTCAAAATATCATTTAGAATATTAGGTTTCTAAATTGAAACCAAACATTTAATGAATTATTTGCTCAATGGCTTCAGTAGTTCAAAGACATACAACAAATGCATCCTGTTCCTTCACTGTCAAATATATCCCAGAAAACTGCCTCTGAATGTCCAGTTGTTTCTTAACATCATATTTCAGTAAACAATGTTAGGGCTGATCTATGCATGCTGCTGAAATAACCAGTAAATAAACATATACACACAGAAATGCAAATCTTTTCTTACTTGAGAGATTTCTTTGAGCAGAAAAGCATCCAGAGAGAACTTCACCACACCAGCCCCTCCTGACAGGAACCGAGAGTTGCTGCCCTCCCTTCTGCCGTCGGTCATGCAGCTGCAGCCAAAACCCCAAAACAATTAAATGTAACATGGCATTCCAATAGCTCTAACAAATCTGTAGATTCACGCTCACCCAAAGTTAGAAATAATATCCACTTTGGGCAAAGTGCTTGGATCTTCAGAGCCTGAAGCGTAGCAAAAGTCCACAAAAAGCCTCTCTCCAGGCAACAGATTTCCTGTCCGAGCCAAAAAATTCACAGGATCTCCTAAAAAGAAAGCATGGCCAGGAGGAAGAGGATCCCACTGTGCTGAGAAAAGAAAAAACAATAATGAAAAATTTAGAAATCTGTGTGAAAAACAATCAAAACTGAAAGCAATGATTTACAACTTTCAAAAACTGTGTTTGACAGGTACTGTGGTTTAGAAAAACAAGTTTTCCACTTTGTTTCAGTCATTTAAACGAGCCTTGGCCCACATGTCTTTATGTGTTCTGATATATTAACATTTACAGTTTGCAGAAAAACACAGGTGGGATATTCAGGATTCCTATTTTTCTGTTGAGGAAGGAACATCATCCTAAAATGGCTCCACTATTTTTAGTTGCACTTTTTTCCCCACACTCTGGCAAACCTCTGCCTGTCTTTACTTCTCAGATATACAGGCTCTCCATAATGCTCTTCTTGTACGGTGTCGCCAAATAACTTTAGTTACAAAATGCTCCTCCAGCTGTTTCTTGTTCGTACCACTTATATTTGCATGTCCCAAATTAAAACATATTGCTGCCATCATATTTAAAGTTCACTCCCCTATGGCTGATAAGGTACTGATAGCTATGACAGGACATTACTTAAAAATAAATAAATAAATAAATAAATAAATAAATAAATAAATAAAATAAATGAGCAGATTCTTAAGAGTTTTTGGAAAATGTGACAACCGACTCCAGTTTTATATTGAAATTTGTTTAAAAGTTAAGGTCTTCCAAAAATGACAAAGAAAATTAAAACTAATTTAGTCAAAGTAAAACCACAGGTGATAAGGCGTTGTATAATTGTGGTTCATTAACTGAACAGTGAAGCTGAAGGTACCTACCATTGCAGACAGTGAGGCTGAATGTTAGTCTACTCTTCATACTCTTTAGAAATGTTGTGTGTTGAACTTGTGGTCTGTAACCAACTTTATAAGAATAATGAAACCTGAAATGGAGAGAAAGACATTTACATAACAAAAAGAAAACTTTCAGAAACGCATTAAATTAGTGTTTGTTTCAAGCTACGCACTATTTGGTTTATAAATGTTTAAAACTCACAGGTCTTCCTGCCATTTCCCCAAAATTTGCTCTGAATTCCCATAATAAAACTTTATTCTGACTTGTATTTTGAGCTTCTTTATGTGCTCACATATGTTCATTGTTGAGATGTCTCATTGGCATGCTTTGGTCCATTCTGGAAATGTTAAATCACACTGATCCATGCGGTCTGCAGGATCATCTTCCTGCAGGCTTGTGATTAAGATCCTTAAACCATTCTAGAGAGGTTTGTTGGCTCCTTCTTTCATTTATCAGTGATGTAGTAAAATAAAAGAATTACCTGTTGTAGCGACAGTGGATGGGAAGCTTAATGGGGTAAGCCCTGATGACATAGCCCTGTGGAGGTGGAGTGTAGCTCAGATAATAGGTATATATCAGCTCCCCACCAGCAACCTGAAAATGACAAAGTTTACATAAAATCTTACATATTTAATGCTACAAAGATGAAAATCAAAAAGTCAGACATTTTACTCCCTCAAGGATTATTATACGCCATCATCCAATAAACATGCTTGCCATGTTAATTGGTAACTCTTAATTGTCCCTTGATGTGAGTGAGAACTGTTTCTTTTTTTTTATTTGTCTCTCCCTGTGATGGGAAAAAAATGCATAAACATGTGTGTTTTGTGCTGACAAATTACAGAAGACAGATTAATAAAGGATTAACAGAATGAACAAGTCAGGCTTACTGCATACAGTTAACTAAGTTGAGATGCTGACATTTAAAAAAAGGTAATCTTTTTTTTAATAGTGATTTTTTAAAAGCTTCTGGAATATCACTATGTTGATGAAAAATTGCTTCATTGTCTCTACTTAAACTGAGGATTGTGTGAAAGAAATAATTACATCAAAACCAAGTTTAACATAATTAACACTTTGACAAATAAGGTGTGGGGGAGGGGAAAACAAGTACAAAGACCCTATATAAAAAAAGTACAGATTGAATTTCTGTAAACATTTCATCATTTTTTACATCATTCAATCTGTAGCAATGGTGGCTATAAACATGTTAGCATTTAGCTGTACATATTGGCAAGAATAACGATCGTTAGCATTTTTTAAAATAAATTAAGTGATATTAATATAATATATTATATATGAATGCCAGAATATTGTGCGTTATGGGTAAACTAATAAGAGAAACGGGAAAATGTGTAATTTCACAGTGAACAGATTTTTATTTTATTTACTTTAACATGTTAGCCATCTGACTCGAACTGAAACTATTAATAAAGCATTATAAAACAAAAATTTGTAAACAGATATTAGCTTCTGTAGCAAAACATAGTTCTAGAGTACAGCGCAACGATGAATCATAATTTATCATAAATTAATCTGGTTTGGCCTTCCAGTGGGTTTGCTGTCAGAGTTGATTTGTCAGCTGTGAGCTGCCGCCCTGTTTGGACGCCATCTTTGCTCCTCCATGATGTGACAGGATAGATGGTGCTCGATTCACATTTAATTTTACGGTTATACCGAAAACTAGAAAAATGTTAACATTTTCTGCAGCACTTTCGTCAGTTTAAACAGTAATGAACAAATAAAATCATCTATTATTTCATTCAATAATTAATTTACTTTGTTTTCTTAATGGTACTTTGTTGATTTTAAGAATAAAATTAAACTAAAACATGGTGCCAAAACTAGATTCAAACCATGCGAGTAGAAAAGGGCAGTGCTGGTTCCCAAACCTTCCAGCTTCTGAGGCACAACCAGCAGAGACTGGGCGGGGAGGTAAAGTTCCAAATGAAAATCCAGAACCTCCCACTCCAACACAAGGACTGATAACACTGATCCCCAAACCTAAAAAATACCTCCTATTTATTGATAATTGGCGACCAATTTCTTTGCTCAATACAGACTATAAAATATTTGCTTCCATTCTTGCCAAAAGGCTTAAAAATGTTTTGGACCCAATTATAGATGAAACTCAATCTGGTTTCATGAAAAACAGACATATCTCTAATAACATTAGACTTGTTTTAGATGTTGTTGATTATTCATTTTTTATGTCCCGATGTCAGTTTTATCTTTGTTCTTGACTTTTATAAAGCATTTGACACCATAGAGCATAACTTCATGTTTCAAGCAATTGAGCGATTTGGTTTTGGTGAGTTCTTCTGTAAAGCTATCAAAACCTTGTACTCCAGAGCAATCGTTCCATCAAACTAAAAAACAGGACTTCACCAAGATTTGATTTGCAGCGTGGAATCCGTCAGGGTTGCCCAGCCTCTCCGTATTTATTCATCCTTTGCACACAGCTTCTGTCTTCTCATATAAAAGAATAGCCCGTTAAAAGGCATCTTTATAGCAGATAAACTACAATCAGTCAATTAGCAGACGACACTACATTATTTTTGAAAAAATGCCCTTCAAGTTCTCATTGCTATCCAAACAATAGACCTGTTTTCATCTGCCTCTGGGCTCTGTCTTAACTTGAAGAAATGTGAGCTGTTTCCGATTAAAAAATGCAATGATACAATGATTCATAATATACCAATCAAAAACAAACTTACCTTGGAATAACAATGAAAAATCATAAAGAGATGATGTTCTGAAAATTTTAACTTGCCTATTGAAAAATCCAAAAAAAAAAAAAAAAAAAAAAACAACTGAACCGGTGGCTTCACTATCACTGAAGGGTCGAGTACTTCTAACAAAGGCAGGTCTATCTCGTCTCATCTATGCAGCCATTCCTCTGTCTGTTGATAAACCAATCTGCACTGTTAGACAAATTACTGCTTTTATATGGAAAAACAAAATGCACTACGTAAAAAAATGTTATTATGAACAACTATGCTTCTGGAGGCCTTAATTTTCTCGACTTTTCTACCCTTAATTTTACATTTAAGATCAACTGGATAAAACGGTTTTTGCGTAACCCAACGTCAAAATGGAATTTTATACCTAAGTACATATTCTCTAGTGGTGGTCTTGAGTATGTACTTATGTGTGATTTTAAAATAGAAAACCTCCCTGTCAAACTATCAAATTTTCATGAACAAATGCATGGTCTCTAATTTATAAACATAACTTTTCTCCGCATAGATGTTTTATTTGGAACAACCAGCACATTAGATACAAAAACAGATCTATTTTTTTAAACTCCTGGTTTGATAATATAATTTTGGTAACTCGGCTACTTAATGAAAATGGGAATCTGCTTAGCTATTTTGAATTTCTGCAAAACATTTGATATTCCTGTAACCCCAAAAGAATTTGCAATAGTTATGGACGCTATTCCTTCTGGTATTCTAATTAAAGAAATGCTGAGAAACCAATCTGTGTTCCATCCTTTGGTATCTTAACTTCAGTAGGTAGGTTATGCTTTTCTGTCAAATCAAGGAATAATAAAGGTAATATCAGGTCATTACTTCAAGYAGACATTACTAGTATTCCCTATGTTGTTCATCACTGGTTGTAAATGATAAAAATTGGGTCAGTGTGTGGAACCTGCCTTACAAATACTTTTAAACAAAGTAAGGGAAGTATCATACAAATTGCTTCATAGATATTACCCTGCTAAGCAGTACATGTTAAAATTTAAAAAAGGACATGTGTGTGAGCTGTTGTCTGTGTGGGTCTGAACCTGAATCTGTGATTCATCTGTTCTGGGACTGTCAGTATACTGCCACCTTCTGGAGAGAAGTGAGTCAGTTTATCCAAGTGAACTCTTTTTTTCTTTAAGCTGGTTTAATGTTTTGTTTGGTCTTCATGATGTAAATAGTAAAAAAGGAAGACAAATGTATGTCATATATTTAATATTACTCTTAGGTAAATACCATATACACAAATCAAAGTTCAGTCACTCCACTCCCTCTTTTCTGGT